CCCCTGTGCTTCCAAACCCTTGCCAGGCTGACAGCCACAGTCCTGGAATGCTTTGGGTTGGAAGGGACCTTAAAGCTCATCCAGTTCCACCCCCTGCCACGGGCAGGGCCACTTTTTCCTCTCTCCCAGGTTGCTCAGAGCTCCATCCAAGGTGGCCTCGGACCCTTCCAGGGATGGGGCAAACGAGAAACCCAACTCCTTGAAGGAGCCTGATCTGATTCCCTCGATCTCCCTGCTCCAAAGGGCAATATTCCAGGAGCCTATCTGGGCACCAGGGCTGCTCTGATAACCACAGTGCTGCCTAGAAAGCAGCCAGGCAGGTTCTCCACTGCTGGAAAGTGTCCCAGTCCCTGCCTTCAGCAGAGCCACCGCTGGGATCCGCAGCAGGGGAGCAGCTGGAGAGGCCTGAGTCAGGCTTTGGGCTTGGCTTGGGGTATTCCCCCTCTCCAGCAGAGGCTGGAGACTAAAATTAAACCCATGAGGGAGGCAGCAAGGCAGGGCCTCACCTGCCAGGGGGTCACACACGTGGAGTCCCACCCTGGGAGACAACACACGGCCCAAAATTGAGGTGTCCCGCCCTCCAGCTGCCAAAGGGTTGCTGAGGGAGGAAGTTCCACCCCAGTGGGAGCAGCTGCTGCTTCCCTTTGCTGCCCAGGAATCCCGGGTGGTGGCTGGGACCAGCTCAGCCAGACCTGCAGCTGATAAGAGCCCTGGTGGGACGGGGCAGACGGGACAGAGACGGGCCCAAAGGCACCCAAAGGTGATGAAATTGGGCTCTGGGTGGGCCAAGGCGCCTCTGCTGCTGAAAATAATCCTCCCAGCACAATTAAGGGCTGCTTGACCTGTGTCCTGATCCCTCCCTGAGATCTGGAGGGTGAGTTATTCTCACTTAGTAAATGTTTTGCACGTGGAATAATAGTGATGGAAGAAACTTCTTCCATGAAAAACACCCTTTATTCCACACTGAGGCTCAAATATCCTTTCAAATGCCATTGTGGCACCTGAATGGGACCAGTTTCCAATTCCATTTGATGGGATAAATCTTGGACACCTTTAAAATCCCTTCACTTGCCATGTGATGCACAGAGATAAACTCAGTCCCCTGTTCTGTCACACTTAGATGGGTGGGAGCTGTGTCTTCTGGACCATGGAAAACAACATTAATTCATAAATCCCAGGATTATTTCGGTTGGAAAAGACCTCCAAGATCATCAAGTCCTCAAGATCCATCAACATCTTGTCCCCCAGCCCAGAGCACTCAGTGCTACCTCCAAGCCCTTCCCTGGGCACCTCCAGGGCTGGGGACTCCCCCACCTCCCTGGGCAGCCCCTGCCAAGGCCTGAACACCCTTTCCAGGAGGAAATTCCTCCTAATGATTCCAAATTATCTGTTCTGAAACGAAAACAGGATGAAATCCATGAAGATCTTCCCTCACCCCTCACGAGTTTTTACACCCTAAAGTCATTTTAGGGAATTCACTGGTGAAGAGCAAGGGAGAGAAGGACAAATTAAACTACAAACTCTTAAACTACAAACACAGCCCAAGAATTAGTGGGAATTGGATGGTGTGAAAGGACTCTTGGATGGGATGAGGTGGCACCACAACACCCCCAGACCCCCAGTGCAGTAAATGGATCAACCTGAGGGTCTGACCTTCATTCCCACCCCATGTCCTGTCCAGTTGGGTCAGTCAGGGGAATAAAAGGAGCCCTGTGTGTGAGCTGCCTACGTGTAGGACAGGGCTGGGGAGGAAACTGCAGTGGGGCAGTTGTGAAACCATGAGCTCATCAGCCAGGAGGACTCATTCCCAGAAGGCAGGGCTTTGAAACCATATAAAAGTTCTCCAGTCCCTCTGCCCCGGCACCCACTGGGCTCCCTGCGACTCCCTGTCGGCCGCCTGGGTAAGTCAGAGGGCTCTGAGCCCTCCCTGGGCTTCTCCCTCACCTGGGGGCCCCCTTTCCAAAGGAGGGTTTCACCTCCTGCCTTCGGATGTGCAAAAGGTTCTCGGAGAGGAGAGGGGTGGTGGGGAGGACAGGCAGCCTTGGGACAGCTCTGCAGGGTAAATCCAGGCTGGGTGTAACTCTGGGGGTTGAGGGCTAAATTAGACCCTTTCTGAAAGGGAGAGCAGAGGAAATTATGCTGGTTTAAGTTCTTCAGGGAAGGAGAGCAGTGGCCTCCTGGAGCTCCCTCCAGACTGATTTCCTGGGATTCTGCTGTTGATAACAAAAATATTGTCAAAACTTTGCTTGCTTGGGAGAATTCTTTTCGAAAGCAGATATTTGGGGCTGCAGGAGCAGAGGGATGAAGGAATTCCTCCTGTGCTGCCTCACTCGTGCCAACCATGGCAAGGGCAATGCATTAATTCGTTAAAGATCTTATCAGATCCTTATAAAAAAAAATGGCAAGAGAGGGGTGTTACTGACCTGGAGGAGGGAGAGGAGAGGAGGGAATTGGCTTTGGGGATGTGCTGAGAGGAGCAGCAACCCCAGGGGGAAGGGAGGAGGAGCTGCCACTCTCCCTCTCCCGCCCACAGCTCCGGGCTGGGGCAGGTCCTGTGCTGGGGGGGCTCCAAAATGCCCCTTCCAGGCACCACTTTTCCAATTCTCACCTTTAATTTGTGCCTTTAAGTTGGTTTTAGAGAAGCAGCAGCCCAGGCTTTAGCAAAGACACCTCCCCAGCCCAGCTGAGCCCGGACCTGCCTTCAGCAGCCACAGAACAGTTTCCCAAATTGCCGGGAACACGAGGAGTGGCCCTGGGAGCAGAAATCCCTCCTGGTGGCTCTGATTCATGCAGGTCACAGGTGTCATTAGTGGCCAGGACAATCCAGGGACACAGGGACACGTTATCCCTGCTCATTCTTCCCGTGGCACTTTGGAGGATTGGGCCAGGGGTCACCTCAGCCCTTCACATCCCCCACAAAGTCGGGATGGAACTGGAGCAAGAGGAGGAATTGAGTCCTAATACTTAAAGGCTTTTAATTCCAGGTAAAACCTGGAAACCATTGCAAAAGGGGCAAAACCCAGTGAATTATTTCACTTTTGCCAATGTAACACATCCCGTTGGCCCCATATTTATATTTTCCAACTTTCTGCTTTAAAATGTTTGTCTTTCATTGTTTTTCTGTTGTTGTTTTGACTTCCCGAGGCCGTTCTCTCCAGAGCAGGAGATCTGTGGTTTGTCAGCTCCTCTCATCGATTCCCCAGGACAGAAATAAAAGGGAGCTGACACTTTGGGAAGAGGGGGGGAAGGACCGTGAAGTGCAAATCAGCTGCAGGTTCAAAGGAGTGGCTCTACCTCAGCCAGACCTGACAGGGCTGTCCCACATCTGCTGAGAGAGGAGGGACGAGATAAGGCAGGGTGGGAGCAGGAGCTGAAAGGCAGGATGACAAAGGAAGAGCAGATCATCATTCTGGGACAACCTTGGGAAGCCAAGGACAAACCGGGAGAACTTTGCTCGGGTTTCTTGGAACTCGTATTTTATAACTGAGCTCGTATTTTATAACTGAGCTCGTATTTTTTGACTGAACTCGTATTTTGTAACTGTTCCCCCTCCTCCTGCTGCGCCTCCCTCAGCACCGCAGTAACGCTCTGATTTTCTTTCAGACCATCCTGCAAAGATGTCCCTGAACCAGATGCAAATCAAGCAGGAGCTCACCCTGCCCCCCGGGCTGAGCAAGAGCATCCCCCAGCCGAGCCAGGAGCCCGTGCCCAGCCCCGAGCCCGTGCCGTGCCCGCAGCAGCATCCCGAGCTCCAGGACCCCACACCCCGCCCGGACCCAGCCCCGGCGGTGGCGACGTGCCCAGAAAAAGCCGTGCCCTTGCCAAGCCAGGAGCCGGGCAAAGGAGAAGCCCCCGCGGTCGTGGTGCCCCAGTGCCCAGCCCAGGAGCAGCAGCAGCAGAGCAAGTGCCCGGAGGAGAAACCAACCTGCCAAGAGCTGCCCGTGTCCCGCCCTGACACAGCCCCGTGTGGGCTGGAGAAGCAGCAGTGCCAGGAGAGCCCCGTGCCAGTCCCTGGGACCTGCTCCGAGGCTGCAGCCTGTGCCCAGGAGAAGCAGCAGATCAAGGAGACCCCTGTGCCCATCCCTGTCCCGCTGCCTGACCCCACCCCGTGTCCCCAGGAGAAACAGGAGATCAAGGAGATCCCTGTGCCCACCCCCTGTCCCCAAGAGAAACAGGAGATCAAGGAGATCCCTGTGCCCACCCCGTGCCCTCAGGAGAAGCAGCAGATCAAGGAGACCCCCGTGCCCATCCCTGTCCCACTGCCTGACCCCACACCATGTCCCCAGGAGAAACAGGAGGTCAAGGAGATCCCTGTGCCCACCCCGCGTCCCCCAGAGAAGCAGGAGGTCAAGGAAACCCCCGTGCCCATCCCTGTCCCACTGCCTGACCCCACCCCATGTCCCCAAGAGAAGCAGGAGGTGAAGGAGACCCCCGTGCCCATCCCTGTCCCACTGCCCGACCCCACCCCGTGTCCCCAGCAGAAGCAGGAGATCAAGGAGCTCCCCGTGCCCACCCCGTGCCCTCAGGAGAAGCAGGAGTGCCAGGACACCCCGGTGCCAGTGCCAGCTCCCTGTCCTGACCCCGAGCAGTTCTCCCTTCCCGAAAAGGTCCCTCCCGTGGAGCAGCAGCAGCTCAAACAGCCCAACCCGTGGCCTCCCGCCCAGAAGTAAAGCAGGGCCGCCCGAGCCGAGCCCCGAGGGGAGAAGAAGATCCCAACCCCGAACCTCCTCTCCCACCTCTCCCATCCAGAGGTCATTTCCCAGCACCTTTTGAATCACTGCAGGGTTTCTGTGGAGAAGAAAATCGCTGTTGAGCTTCCAAGTCCCCCCTCCAATTAACGCTTTGTCCTGCACTAACAGCCCCCGGGATGCTCTGTGGATAAAAAGGCTTCAAGCAGGGTCCTGGTTGTGTGTTCAGCTTCCCAGCAGCCTGAATTCCTGCCCTCTCCCAGTCCCTCTGGCTTTGGAAGGCCCAGAGAGACACCAAAAAGCTCCCTGGCAGCACAAGGCAGGGTTCCTTAAGCTCAGCATTAAACTCTCCCCCAACCCAAGGCCCAGCTCTGGTTTCCCTGCCTTCCCCCCCCCAGCTCCCTGGATTCCACCTCCCACCTGCATTTGGGGCTTCTTGCCTGTTAATAGTGGGAGGTTTGGGCAGAACCTGCTGCTGAAGGGTTCTGGTCCCCCTCCCAGCTCATGACATGGCAGTGCTGATTGGTTTTGTGCAATTAAAAAGAATTGCACAAATAGGAAATAGGAAGGGATTTTAGGACAGAGGCACCACCTCTGCCCGGGCAGGAGCCAGAGCTCACCTGGAATCTTCTGGGACGTGTGAAAGAGCAGCTCCAGCTGAGAGGCTTCCTGGCAAACCTCCAGAATCCACTCCAGACACGTTTTTAAAGCAGAGATCAACCTCGGGCGTGGCTTCCCCGGGCTCCACGGGGCAGAGGAGGGAACACGCTCGGGGCCGCCTCAATTACACCCCACACGGGGCTGCTGTGGATGGATTTGCCACTTAGCTCTAATTATTTTAGGCTGGTGTTGCATCCAGGATTCATTTCACTGTGAAAATCAGCAATAAAAGTTGCTTTGAATACCAAGGTGTGGAGGTTTTTCTGGGTTTCTGCTCAAAAAAGGTGGGAGGGAGCCTCAGGTGGCAACAGGCAGGTATTTGTCAGGGTCAGAGCTTGGGGCTTCCCAATCAGGACCTGGAATGGGTGACCCTGAGTCACAGAACCATGGAATGGTTTGGAATGGGAGGGTCCTTAAAGTCCCTCCAGTGCCACCCCCTGCCATGGGCAGGGACACCTTCCTCTATCCCAGGTTGATCCAACCTGACCTTGGACACTTCCAGGGATGGGGCAGCCACAGCTTCCCTGGGCAACCTGTGCCAGGGCCTCCCCTCCCTCCCAGGGAGGAATTTATCCTTAATATCCCATCTCAACCACCTGTGTGTGTGTCCTTAAAGGTAATTTTTTGGCAGATAAAAGAGAAAGATAACAAACAGTACGAGCAAAGTGACAATAAAAACATCAGGAAGCAAGTGATGAGGTTATTCATCATTTTATTGCAGCGTGTCCCAAGTTAAGAGCAGGATAAAGCGGCCCCAGGATTTATTTATTTATTATTTTCCAGCAGAGGGTGAGCTAATCCCAGGTAATGAATTGCACCTCGTTGGAAAGCAATTGCTCCTTGCAAAGCTGAGGAGGCGGCTGCGGGGGTTTTGGAGCCCTTCCAGCGGCGCCAGCAGACAGGGAACTTGGGAAAGGAGCGTTTGGAAACCGGGAATTTGCATCTCCCGTGGCAGCTTCGGGGCCGTCGGGGCTACTTCTGCTTGGGGCAGCCCTGCTGCTGCTGCTGCTGGGGGAGGCTCTTCACGGGGCACTTGGCCTGGCCTTTGGGGGCCTGGCTTTGCTCCACACCCTTGGCAGGGGCCACACACTTCTCCTGGCACTGGGGAGGGAGGCACTGCTGCTGCTTCTGCTGGTGGGACGACATCCCTGCCGAGCCTGCAGGAAAAACCCCAGAGCCGGGGCAGTTTAATTTAAATCCCCTCCACACACACGTCTCCTTTTGGGATATCACGGTTTCAGGCGGTTCCTCAGCTCTGGCATCGACTCACCAGCCAAGAGGATGAGATTTTGAGGTTAATCCTCCCACCAAAACCACTCTGGGCAATAAATCCCTGAGGATGCTGCTCTCCAGCCCTGGCGAGGCCACTTTGCTGCATCTGCCCCTCGGTGACTTTTTTGGGGCCCCCATCACACCCTCTGTGGGCTCAGCCACTCTGCTGAGCACTCAGAGAAGAGCTGCACGTAAAATGAGTGCCAGAGTCAAGGTCCAGCCTGACAGAGCCTGGCTCCAGCCTGACAGAGCCTGGCTCCAAGCAGGGAAGTGGCTGCAGGAGTTGAGGAGGAGACAAACAGAGAGGGGGGTTTTCCTTCATTCCCTCTGCTCAAAAAAATGTTTGCTGGACATTCCAGCTTGGACAAGCACAGAAGAAATGCAGGTTTGAAGGCAAACTCGCTTGGTTCAAGGAGAACCCCCTCAGAGCAGGGGTTAAAACTGTTTAAAGAGGAGCAGAAAACTGGTGAGAGCTCAGTGCTGTGAGTGCTGGAAGCAGGAAATCATTGGGGAGCAGCCCCCTTTGGCAACAAGCACGTCCCTGCTCAGGTCAGTGGGAGCCTCAGAGCAGAAGCCGCATCTCTGGCCACTAAATTTGGGTGAACTGAGAGGATTTTTTACAGAAAAGTGGAACTCAGAGCCCTGGGAATCCAGGAGACTGATCAGATGCAAAAGCAGCTTCCAACGGGTGCCAACTGCTGGCAGCTGATCCCCAACCCCTGCTGGTTATCCACAGGATTCTTATCAGCCTGGGGGAAATTCAGAGGGTTGGCAAGGGGGTTCTGGGCCCAAAGAGGCAGCAAACCACCGTTTGGAACCTCAGAAAGCCTCCAAACCCCGTCCTGTGCCCCTCACCTGCCAGGGGAAAACCTGGAGCTGGGACTGGAGGGACAAAACAAGGACAAACCACCCCCATCCCAAACCCCAGAACCACCCCCTGAGCGGCCAGAGGGGCACGGGAGGACTCACCTGGTGTCTCACCTGGTGTCTCCTGCTCTGGGAAGGAGAAGCCACTGGAGGTGAGGAGCTGCCCCAGCAGGAGGGTTTTATACCCTCCCAGGAGCTGATGACAACAGATTAACTCGATGACCAGAATCTTTCACAACCAGAACCTGCCCCGCTCCCACCTCCGTGCTCCTGGACCACAGTCAAGGCCTGGGAAGGATCCCTCCTCTTCCAGCTGCGGGGGATTTGTTGTTTTTAATGCCAGGCACACCCAGGCTGGTAATCACGGGCTAATTTATTAATAATTCCCCTCGTCCCTGTCCTGGGCACAGATCCCACGGCTCTGTGGGGCTGGGACACAACTCACGTCCTCTCCGGAGGGAGCAGAACGTGGTCACACAAAATTCAGGGGATAATTTCGTCTGTGACCACAGGACAGATCCCCAGAAACCTGAGTGGGGTGAGGGAACCCCTGTGCCAGCCCCTGGCAAGGGCAGCAGGCCCGTCTTTGGCCTCCTGTGCTTCTGGATTTTGCTGTTGCCCTTCTCCAGTTTCCCCCCCCCCCCAAAAAAGGGGAATAAAACGCTTCATAAAGCCAAGAAATTAGAAATCTTTCCCCTGTTTTTTTCCTTGCACTTTACTGTGGTTTTTCACTGAATTAACTTAATTTTTAATTATCTGAATTCCTTTTTTCCAGACTTGCTGAAGTTGTGGCAGAAATTCTTTTTTTTTTTTTCCTGAGGATGGATCCACGTTGCAGAAAAATGTGGATTCCCCTTGAGATTTTTCCAAGGAAGGGACAGAGAAAATGTTCCATCTGAAGCCTTGGCTTTGCTGGAAAAGGAACCCTTGATTGTTCCCACCACCAACCCTTGGCTGTTCCCACCATCAATCCTTGATTGTTTTTACCAACAATCCTTGGTCATTCCCACCAAAAATCCTTGGTCATTCCCACCAAAAATCCTTGGCTGTTCCCACCAACAATCCTTGGTCATTCCCACCAAAAATCCTTGGCTATTCCCACCAAAAATCCTTGGCTGTTCCCACCAAAAATCCTTGGCTGTTCCTACCAAAAATCCTTGGCTGTTCCCGCCCCCAACCCTCCCCACCCCCCAGCTCCCGGTGTTGGACACATCCCCATCAGCTCCCTGACCCTCTCCAGGCTGACACGGATGAAGTGGCACCAATTTGCTGCAAATATCCCAGGAATCTGAGCAATCCCCAGAGCTGACCAGGGGTGGAGTGTGTCAGGGCTTTTGGAACACCTTTTTCCCACCAGCACAGGAAACCTCGATGAGCTCAATCCAACAGGAGCCTCCTGCCACTCCCTTCCAGAGCCTGGCTGGGATTCCTGTGCCTGCTGCAGCAGAGAGGGAGAAGAGAAAAACTTTATTTGGTTGTTTTTCCTGGCACTTCACAGCAGCTTTTCACCAAAGCAGCTTCATTTGTGATGAATTCAATCCCTTTTCCCCAAGCCCTGGCTTTGACCTGCTGGAGCTGCAGCAGAACTTCCCGGGTTTATTCCAGGGATGGATCGAGAAAAATGTTGATGCCCTGGAGATTTTTTTTTTCCCGAGGAAGGAGCTGAGGAAATGTTTCATCAGCTGCTGGATCTGGCTGGAGATGCTCAGAATTCAGGCCCAGGTGACTCACCTGTGGGATGGAGCTGCACGTGACTCCCTGACCAGGACCTTTTCCGTGCCTAAAATTGGGCACTGCTGTGGCATCAGCAGGTCCTTGGTGAGGCAGAATTGGCAGAATTCCGGGGGGACCCCCAGGGTTTGTGTTCCACGGGAGGAATTAGGGGAGCACGTCCCTCCTTTCGTGCTGTCGAGCCTCTGCTCCCCCTCCTCCCTCCCTCCTGCCCGGGCTGTGTCAGGAGCAGGGGTGGGTTGTTTGCCTTCCCCAGCCCTGGGTTTTTTTCCCCTCTCATTATTGGTGTCACCTCTCGGTGTCGACAGACGGGGCCGGAGAGGAATCTGCTGTTAAATTCCACAAGGGCTCATTAGCAGCTCGTTTGGTAACAGCCTCTGCACACACCTAAATATAACTCTTTTCTTCTCCAGATTAGAGATTCCCCACCCCTGCCCTAATGACACGGTGGCTGGGGAGCGATTCTGCACGGCCCAGACCTGGCCAGAGGTTGAACGAGTCACCCGGGAGGACAATGGGAGCTTTATCCCCCAAATTCGGGCTTTCAAAGGGTTTCACGCCCCTCCAGACAATGAGCCTCCTTTAGCTCCAAAGTTACAACAAATAAAGGTGTATTTAAAGCCAAGTAAAATGTTATTGCACCTGCCAGGTGTTAATAAACCCCAAACTCCAACCCCTCTCTCCCTCCAGGAGGTGATTCCTGCTCGTGGGCAGATAATGGGCAGAGACACGAGTGAGACCTTCCAAAGCCACCCAAAGGACCTGCAGGTCCTGGCAGCAAAACTGCAAACTCAGGGCTCAGGCCCGTTTCTGAACCACAAAAAGGTTCCTCTCCTGAAGCCAAATCCCCCCTTTTTCTATATTTGGCCAGTGGGGATGGTGGGAAGAGTCCATCCGACCCACCACTTTTGTCCCAGTCAGGATTTTTTAAAGGAATAATTAAAATTCCAGCCCAGAACATTCGATTCCTTCTTGCTTGAATTTGAGGCTTTGTACTGGTTAAATTCACCTTTTAACAGTTTCTAAGCTTTGCCTCCAAAATCCTGAGATATAAATACCAAATTCTGGTCATTAATAAAGATGAAAATTAAATTTTCTACCATTATTTTCATGCATCTATCAGAAAAGCATTGGCTAGGTGATGTTTTCCTTCTAGAATTAGAAGATAATTGCTCCACACTAAAATGCTGTTTGCAGCAGGCAAAAAAACCCTCCCCAGGCACAAAACCCTCCCCAGGCACAGCAGCTTTTAAAAATGAAAACTGAGGGAAGATGTTCCTGGGCCTGAGGACGTGGAGACGAAAAGAAGGACAGAAGACACAGGATGCCATCGATGGGCAGTTTTTATTGCTGAACACAGACACTACAAGAGGGAGGACATAAAGGAGAAGGAAAGAGCAAAAGAGGAGACATCTTCCACCACCAGCTGCTGCTGACAGCACAACCACAGCTCAACAACTGGGACAGCACAACCACAGCTGGACATCTGGGACAGAAAAACCATGGCTGGACATCTTGGCCAACACAACCATGGCTCAATAATTTTCCAGCACAACCATGGCTGAACATCTTGGACAGAAAAACTATGGCTGGATACCTTGGACAGAAAAACCATGGCTCAACAACTTGGGCAGCACAACCAAGGCTAAACATCTTAGACAGAAAAATCATGGCTCCACAGCTTTTCCAGCACAACCATGGCTAAATATCTTGGGCAGCACAACCATGGCTAAATAATTTTCCAGCACAACCATGGCTCCATAATTTTCCAGCACAACCATGGCTGAACATCTTGGACAGCACAACCTTGGCTCAGTAACTTTTCCAGCATAACCATGGCTAAATATCTTGGACAGAAAAAACATGGCTGAACATCTTGGGCAGAAAAACCACGGCTCAATAGTTTTCCAGCCCAACCATGGCTGAACATCTTCCCAAGGGGCCCAAAGGTCCGACACCGTCCAACCGCAGCCCCCAAAACCAGCAGAGGTGCTGAGGCAGCAGGGGCAGAAGTGTCACAGGAGGGAAAGGGCAGAAATACCCAGAGAGGACATTTCCCAAGGCAAAGGCCCTGGGGTGGGCAGGGCAGGAGAGGTCTCGGAGCGTGGCTCGGGGTCTGTAGCCGGGTTGTCCGTTCCGGGGGCTCAGGAATCAGCAGGGCCGGGAGCAGACGGGCTCCAGGCACACGGTGTCACAGGACTCCACGCACTTGGTGGTGCAAACCTCCACGCAGGGGCCCTGGCAGGGCTCGGGGCACTTGGTGGGGCACTGGGGGGCACAGGACTGGGCACAGACGTCCACACACTGAGGGGCACAGGACTGGGCACAGACGTCCACGCACTGCGGGGCACAGACGTCCACACACTGCGGGGCACAGGGCTGGGCACAGACATCCACGCACTGGGTGCTGCAGGAGGTGCTGCACTGGGTGGCACAGGGCTCAACACACTGGGTGCTGCAGGAGGAGCTGCACTGGGTGGCAGAGGGGGCCTGGCAAACCTCCACGCACTGCACCGGGCACGGCTCGGGGCACACGGCCTGGCACGGCTCCACCACCCGCTTCACCCCCTTCTGCAGGCAGATGGGAGGGGGCAGGCAGGGCTGCTTGCACTGCTCGTAGTAGGACATCCTTCCCAGGGGGGCAGCGACAGGCACAGCTGCAAAGAGACACAAAAAATCAGGATACTGAGAGTTTTCCCCCCCTCCGGGCGCCGATTCCCGGCGTGTGGGGCTGTCTGTGGTCAGGGGGAGGGAAATATCGCCCGGGTGGGTGATTTCTGGGTTCAGATCTGGGCAGTTAACGCTGCCAGGTTATTCCTTCCTTTCCTGGGAGTGCTCAGGAGTCACCCTTAGGGAGTCCAGGGCTGTCAGCTTTAGAGAATCCCCCATAGTGAAACTTTGGAGTGACGTGAAAATGGTTCATTTCCTTGTTTTCTTAGTTGAATCAGGAATTTTTCCATTGTCACTTCCTCAGGTCCTCACAGCCACCTGACCACGTCCCCCTGCGAGCAGACGTGGAGCTGCTGATGCCCAAAGACCACAAACTCAGCCATTATCCCATAAAACCATGGAATTGTGGAATGGTTTGGGTTGGAATGATCTCAAGGATCATCTCATTCCACCCCCTGCCATGGGCAGGGACACCCCCACTAGCCCAGTTAGCCTGGGCTGCAGACCCAGCCTGAGGATCCTCTGGATCGTGGGATGTCCCCGGAGTTGTCTCAGAATTCCCGGGCTCATCCTTTCCTGGGACAAGGGTTGGCCCAGAGGCTGCAGCTCCTGTTTCCAAATTGTTTCCTCCTCTTGTCTTCTCCCAGGTGTCTCCTGCAGCTCTGCCTGCAGGAATTCTGCAGCTTCCTCCTTCCAGATGATGCCTCTTCCCACCCATCCCTTTTGAAGTGCCGGGAGTTACTCGGCAGCGTCCACTCATTTATTTCATTTCCAGACTTAATGAGGCACGAAAAAAATTAACCAAGATAGAAGAGGAGGGAGGATGAGAGACAACCACGGCTTCTGAGGAGGCGACAGAACATTTGCAAGCTACTCAAGGCAGAGCAAACTCTAAACAAGAGCGGAACATCCTCTCCCCAGTCCCGAGACAAATCCCGGAGGAGAAACCCCACAGGCAAAGCTCTGGAAAAACCTCCTCTTGACCACAACAACCAACAGCACATCAGCTCCCTGATAAACCCGAGAGAGACTCACCGGTTCACCCGTGCAGGTGAGCGAGGCAGGAGCCAAATGAAGTGGTGGGAGCATCCAAAGGCAAAGCTTTTATACGGCCCGAGCGGCGTCAGCTCCGGAAACGCGGCAGCCCAGGGGGATGGACACCCGACCACAAACAACCTCCCCGGGCTCCACCTCCACGTGCTCGGCATATTTGCTCACATCCTAATTTTTGGATGGGAAACCCTCCTGCAGGAAGAGCATGTGATGCTGAGCAGGCTCCTCTCTCCCCTCCCCGAGTCAGGTGGTTCCCACCGAGAATGACGGTCATTAAAAAACAGCAGGTGAGGAATTAATTGATTTGGTGCGAGGGGGTGTTTGTTCCCAGCCCCCTGATTTCCATAAACCTCTGGACGATGCCTTTGGGTTTTTCCAGTGGTTGTTATTAGGGGAAGACGGGCAATTAATTTGTTTTACTATGAGAAATGTCCCATCCCGATTCTCATGGAGAGGAGCAGCTGATTCCCCCAGTGCTTCCACCAATTCCTGCTTCTTTGATACCTTTAAATCAGTTCATTCACCCAACCCATTCCTCCCCATGGATTAACAACATCCATGCTTGGCCATTCCAACAGGGACACACCTGCAGCTACCCTGAGAACCTCATCAAACCCCTCAAGGCAAAGAATCCCTGGTTTTAAAGACATTTTTTGCTGCTAGAGGAGCGTGAAATGCTCCAGCTTAGGTGGGGTTCAGGCCCAGGATGCCACATTAACACAATGAGGGGTTTTGCTGGTAACAACTGGGCTCCACAGCGTGGAAAAAAATCTTTGTTTCTCCAAGATATTCCCATCCCAGAGGTGGAATGTGCTCACCAGGCCACCCTCAGCCCTGCAAAAAATGCCAAATGGGAGAAAAACCCAACCAGCCAACCCAACCTGACCCCTTCAGCATCCTGTTTACACTCCAGACCAGGAGTCCCCATGGAGAATTCCAGGAGTCAGCACCGGATCCTCTCCCGTGCTGACATGGAAAGCCTGGAATTCCTGCCCCGGGCCCACGTGAGCTGCGGGATTTGCTCCTGACGTTCTCCCAGCGGTGGCTCAGCCTTTCCACAGACTCAGCCCCCCTCGTGCTGTTCCTCCTCCTCCTCCTCCTCCCCTCGAGGCTCCTCCGCCCCGGGGGGGTTTTAGGGATGGCAGGAATAAAACTGGGACTCTCAGAGTGTGGTTTGCTTGTCTCCAACACCTGATTCAGGGGTGGGGGAACACCCGTGGCTGCATCAAACAGGCTGCAAAACGAGCAGGGAACCAGCTTGGATTTCGGGGTGGAATATTTAGGCAGATTAATCCCTTCCCCACCTTCTCCTCCTCGAGCTGCTGGGTGAGGAAATCATCCTCCAGCACTTCCAGGTGCCCTCCCAGCAGCCTCCAGCAGTTTTCTCGCTGAGGAGCATCTCCAAGTCCTGCTTGAAGAGCTCTTCGTGCTCTCCTTGGGCTCCCAAACCACCACGGGGGACCAGTCCCACCCTCCCTTCCCACAGCCAGTTATTTTACACCCTGTTGTTACATTTGATGGGCAAGAAATCCTATTGGAGGACACATAAATTCATCTGCCTTTGTAACAGGTGGGAACATCAGAGGGCTGGATTATTACCCCTTAATTGACCCTTATTTGTGGGTCTCTCTTACATTTGTGAGCAATCCCTTGATGTCAGTGAGTCAGGACCCCACAGCAACACCCTTCGGTGGCCCTCATTTGGTGGCCAGAGGTTGGTCTGGTGCTGCAGCAGAACTGCCCCCTGAGCACTGAATTCTGCTGCCCAGGAGCATTTTTTCCTGAAAAACCCCACAAAACATCACACTGCCAACACTTCTGGCTCCCAAGAATCCAAGGAGCTCTCTGTGTTTCACCACCAAGAGCTACCAAAGGTGGAGGCACTTTTCTATCAGGGAAAACCAAAAAAACCAAACCTATTTCATGAACTGCTGAACAACTGGCTTTAAAATAGGATCCATCTGGGTTTTACACAGCCCTTGGTTTACCCCAGAGCCTCCTGCAGGAGTTTTCCTGCTCTGTAGCATCAGCAAAGACTTCCAAGATCATCCAGTCCAGCCTTTGATCCATCCCCACCTTGGCCCCAGCCCAGAGCACTCAGTGCCACATCCAGTCCTGCCCTGGGCACCTCCCTGGGCAGCCCCTGCCAAGGCCTGAACACCCTTTCCAGGGGGAAATTCCTCCTCATGGCCAACCTGACCCTCCCCTGGCACAGCTTGAGGCTGTTTCCCCTCCTCCTGTCCCTTGTTCCCTGGGAGCAGAGCCCGACCCCCCCTGGATCCAACCCTCTGTCAGGGAATTCCAGAGCCAGAAGGTCCCCCCTGAGCCTCCTTTTCTCCAGGATGAGCCCCCCCAGCTCCCTCAGGAGTTCTCCAGACCCTTCCCCAGCTCCCTTCCCTTCCCTGGACACGCCCCAGCCCCTCCGTGTCCCTCTTGCTGTTGTTGCCCAGGACTCACATTTTGCTGAAAAAGCCTTTTCACAGGAATCTGGGATTCTCCCCATTTCCTCAGCCCTCCCAGCCCACTCTGCTGCACCTGCCTGCAATCAAATCCTATAATCTGGGGCTTCCTCACACCCCACTTTCCCCTGTCACCCTTCCCCGCCAGGGCAGGGTGGGAGGGTGTGATCAGCACAATTCCAGCTGGTGGAATTGTGTCCAGCCTTCCTCTGGCTCTGGGAATAGCTGGGATGCCAGGGGGCTGAGTGTGGGGTGCCCTTGGCCTCACATGAGCACGAGTGGCTCACCTGTGGCTCACCTGCCCCCTGCCCCAGGGACTGTTTGCTCAGGGAATGAGCTCATCCCTCCTGGGGATGAGGATGAGGAGCCCCAGCCCGGCCCCATCCACCCCTTTTCCTGTTTACTGGGGCAGCTGAGTGCTCGGGCAGGAATGATAAACGAGCACCTGGGTAATTAAACCTCGGGAAGAGGAACTAACTGTGGTCAGGGAAAAAATGCCTCAGCTCTTTTATGGACTCTCGAAGAGATTTGCTTTGATTTCCTCAGTGTTTTGGGAAGGAAATCCGGTTTTCCGTGGGATTTTTTTTTATTTTACTGTGTTTTGATCTCCAAGGAGCACCTTTCAGAGCTCAGAGCACGTGGCCTGACAGGACAAGAACTGTGATTCCACCACATTTTCTCACTCTGCAGTTTTCTCCCTGTTGGGACAGTTCCATGGGTGTCGTTTGAACATCCAGGTGCTGATCCAGGGATCCCTGTTTCCCTGTTTCCCTTCCTCCAGCCCCACCTGGACATGAAGTTTCAGCTCTCTGCAGAGTCGAGGTGAATTAAAATCTGAAGGATTAAATATCATGCAAACACCAAGCCATGAGAAGGGAAAAATCTTATCTGGGTGCCATTTTTCCCACCTGCAGTTCCTTTATTCCCAGGGGGTTCTTCCATTTGATTTGGGAGCAGGAGAAAAAGGAAATTGTTGCCTGCACAGAACATTTTAGTGAGTTTTAAAGGAGTTCTGGGGTAAAATTAAACCTGCACAGGGAGAATTTGTGATTTTTTTAATGCAGGTTCGCCTCAACCTGCTGAGAGAGGAGGATGGGAACGGAAGAACTGTGGGGGTGGGATGGTTTGTGTGAGGCCAAATGTCCCCAAACCACGTCCCTTGGGTGGGATTTGTCACTTCCCACTCTCGGCTGGCTCCTCTTCCCGAGGTGAGACGGTGACAATTCCTCCGGAGGAGTCACCAGCCCTGTGCCCCGGGGTGTCCTCAAAGAAGGAGCCGGTGGGTGCTGCCAGACGGGCACACCCTTGTCTGCCGCCTCCCCCGCTCCTGTCACTCCTCCCTCCAGCATTCCAGGAGGGATTTGCTCACCCAAACCCTGCCCTGGCCCATCTCCCTGTCTGGAAACCTGCGGAGCACAAAACCTGCAGAGCACAGAACCTGCAGAGCACAGAACCTGCAGAGCACAAAACCTGCAGAGCACAACCTCCCTCTGTAACAGGGAGGAGGTTTGGAGCCCCTGAGGACGTTCCTGACTCCCGGGTGAACAGTTTTCCAGGAGATCTGAGGCCGAGGAGGAAGCGCTGGGAGCTTTGGAGCACTTTGGGAACCCACCTTTGGGGTTCCAGAGCCTTTCCTAACCCACGGGAGGGGGTTTCCTCGGGATGTGCAGCACCCCCTGCCCCAGCAGTGAGCTGGGATATTTGGGATATCAGGCCCTGAGCTCTGCTCTGGGGGGACCAGGGACAGGACCCAGGGAGTGGCTGGAGCTGTGTCAGGGCAGGGTCAGGTTGGATTTTAGGAAAAGGTTCTTCCCCCAGAGGGTGGTTTTGGGGCACTGCCCAGGCTCCCCAGGGCAGTGGGCACAGCCTCAAAGGCTGCCAGAGCTCCAGGAGCATTTCCAAAAGCTCTCAGGGCTGTGGTGGGATTTTGGGATGTCCTGTGCAGGGCCAGGAGCTGGACTTGGATGATCCATGTGGGTCCCTTCCAACTCAGGATATTCCTTGATTCTCTCATCCCAGGGGGGTCTCAGGTCTCCAGCTGCTGCCTTAGACCTTCCCAAGCATTCCAGAGGGAGCTGCCACTCTGCAGATATCGGGATTTTAGGAAGAAATGAAAAGGATAAAACAGGAGTCCGGGGTAATACAGAAGTGAAGGGAACACTGGGGTGTTTGTTTTATTCACACATGGAGAGGAGAAGGTGACAGAGGAACAACAAACAAGGACATTCCTCCACCAAGATCAGCACAAGGAGGAGTTACAGACTCTTTCTCCCAGGAAATATTCCCGGGGGCACAGAAATCACTCGGTTACATGTACAGGGAAAGGCACTTCCTTGAGGTAAACACGGCAGGAACGGGGCAGTGGAGGATTTTTCTGCTCCCGGAGCAGGGAGGGCACTGGGAAAACAAGGACGTGAGGGAGAGATCCAGGGATTTACAAACCTCTTTCAGTCCTGAGCCTTTGGAGACCCCCCGGGGCAGTGGCTCTGCAGGGCGGGGTCTCCTCAGGATCCCACCCGGGGGCCCCCTCAGAGCCCCCGGAATTTGCGGGAGCGGAGGGGGCAGCGCTGGCCACAGGCGGGGCAGGCCTGGGTGACACAGGGGGTGGCACAGGACACCTGGGTGACACAGGGTGTGGCACAGGACTCCACGCACTTGGTGATGGCCTGGACGCCCCCACAGCAGGGATCCACACACCTGGGGGCACAGCTGGGCACGCAGCAGGGATCCTGGCACGTGGTGGTGCACTTGGTCACCTCCTGGC